AAACAGGCTGTCTCACTATTCACTATCACAAGTTCGCACCAAACGCTGTTGCGATAACACACTGTCATCCTAATACCATTTCACACAACACACTGTCAGGCTAACATGAGTTCACACAACACACTGTCACGCTAACACAAATTCAAAAAACATGCAATATCGCTAACACGAGCTCACATAACAAGCAGTCTGCCTAACACGAGTTCACACAATATGCAATCGCGCTTACACGAGTTCACACAACACACTATCTCTCTAACACCAGTTCACAAGACAAATTTTCAGGATAACAAGTTCACACAACACACTGTCACGCTAACATGAATTCACACAACATGCTGTCTCGTTAATAAGAGTTCACACAACACGCAGTCTCGCTAACACGAGTTTACACAACACGCAGTCTCACTGTCTGACTAACACAGGTTTACACAACACGCAGTCTCACTAACAGGAGTTTACACAACACGAAGTCTCATTAATAAGAGTTCAATCAGCACTCTGTCTAGCTAACACGAGTTTACACAACACACTGTCACACTTACACTTTATACACGATTTCACACAACACGCTGTCCTGCTAACACAAGTTTACGCAACACATCGTCAAGCTAAAAAGAATTCACACAACCCACTGTCAGGCTAACACAATTAAGTTCACAAAACACACTGCCTTGCTAACACAAATTCATACAACACACTGTCTCGCTAACACAAGTTCACACAACACACTCACATTGCTGAGTTTAAAGTAAAGGTCTACCCTAATTTGAAGAGGTTTAACACTAACATATCTCTATATTAGTAAAGAGCTTCAAATTTAAGACAAAAACATTTATGCAGTAATGTTCCTTAACATGCATCTGGCATATAAAATGAATGAGACCTTAAAAACCTCACAGTACATGTTTACTTAGCTAAGTAAAGGTCTAAATTGATGCTATTCAACAATATATATCAACATCTCTAAGTATGTGAATGAGTGAAATTCTCAAATAAATATTATAAATCAAAGTATCAATAAGAAGCTGAGCCTTACATCGCAGGTTCCAATCCCATTGCTAAATGCTTTAGACAGGTTACTCCTATGAGACTGCATAAACCAAGATTCTGTGTCACGGTAGGTGTTAGCACAAAATGGATCTCATACTTCTTAAAGGCAATAAGTGCTGAGTACAAGTCTATATTTGCAGCTAATACCATCCCAAGTGGTGGCACCATGAAATGACTGAAAAATGTATGATATAAGCAAATAAACAAACATTAAACCATTACAGCAGTCTGATCAAACAAAAAAGCAAACTTTCTATTATTACAATTTTTCAAAACAAATTTCTTTTGCAATTTAACTGAGCAATATTTGTCCTTTTTTGTCAGTAAAGTATGATATTAAATAATTAAGACTTTTTGAGAAAATCTATTTATAGCGAGTCCAGACAGCAGCACAAATCCCTGCCCATAATGCGAGCTCTTATGATAAGACCTTGGCAAAAGAAGATTGTGACTTGCACATTGCTCCACACAATTTTTCCGCAGTATACTTTGGACCCACAGTGCTTAGCTTCTTTAACATGTTTAAGCTACATTCAAAATTCATTTCTATTTAATTTGAATTAGTTATCCTTACTCATGTTCACATGGAGCTAATGGGATGTAATTTAACGAGCAATGAATTCATTCGAATTAAACATTTGAATAAACTCTCAGTGTGAACACTGAGCATGGATGCACCAAATGTCAAATGCGGCTTGACAAGCACAATCTAAATTAAAACTAAATAAGTATCTGCCCTCACCCTTATAGTCACACTGTCAATATATAATTAGTTGAATATATTCTGTAACATTAAGTGCAGTTTGAATTATAGAGTATGATCACTATGATAGATAGTAGGACTGTTGAAATTACATCCTCAAATTTAAAAAAAAAATAAATATAAAGCTGTGGGGATTTACAAGGTAAACAGAGAGCGTCTGAACTGTAAAACAGATAATATATCGGTGTGTCTGTGTATTTCAAATAACATCAATGTATGTCACTGTCATGTAATCAGTAGTGTAAATTTTAAGTAATAAAAATATTCTAACCTTCGTTCCAATGGTCCAAGTCAATCATACATTAAAATGTCGCCGTCAGCTCTTTCATCACTCGATACAATTATCACTGGGGAATGATATGATGATCCGAATCCGAAGCAGAGTCAAGAGTGTTCATCCTTGTTAATGTGACTGTCAGAATTTCCTCGTAAACAATTCGCACAAGATTCTTAGAATATATGAATCGGGATAATTCTGCTTAGAATAATGTTCCAGAGAAGTGAAAAAGTACTTCGTAGCTGCAGATTAAATGAGTTTACATGTCTACAAACGGATTCTTTGTTAGAAAATATTCAACTTCACAACTTCAACTTCACAAATCATTCTATTTTCAGTTTGTAAACCATGGCAAACTTGTGGCCGTCTTCGACTCGAAGGGGCACACTAAAAACGGGATATACTAGAGACCTGACAGTTACATGACGTTTTAATTTTTAATAAAATGGTAATATTGAGTATTTTAAATTACTTATGTACAGACTTTATGACTTTGAGGCATATGCTATACACAAGATCAATTGTTTGGAACAGTTACAGACAAATTTGAATCAGAAAAAAAAAAGATGGATCACTTGTAAATTAATATTGATGTAGAGAAATATAGAGATGAAAGAAAAAATAATTCGCCATTTATAAAGCCTAGTTTATCAAAATTAATAAGAAAATATGTTTAGCTCATCCTGGTGAATGTTCTCAGTAACACAAATTATATGTTCTCAAGCTTTCGCAGATAATTGCTGTACGACTTTATAATTGCTGTAATGAAATAATTCTGGTTTCACCTTTTGATCTCCAAATAATTACAATTAAATAGTTGAACACACACGCTCAGCAAACGGGCACAATATTAACATTTACGATCCGTTACCTGTGGCATCGCATATTATTAAGTCATGATTTTGAGCATAAAACACATATTTATTTGTATGATTAAATAAATGATCTTAATTTATTACAAAATAAATGAAATATTTAAAAAAGAGGGGGAGATGTTTCGCACCAAAATCGGTGCGAATCATCCCGGCGCGAAACATCGCAGTGCGAAACAGAATCGGCGCGAAACATCCCGGATTCGGTCAAATCAGGGTTTAGTACATCGCGTCTTTAGTACCTTCCTATTTCCCACAATGCCGCGCGTTGTTTACAAACAAGCGCGAAAAAATCCTCTAAACTAGGTACTAATTATTGTTGTGTACATCATCACATTTTAAAATTATTTGAATAAAAAGAAAACAAAGAAACACCGAATCAAAACTATATCTTTTAGATGCATCAGCTAAAAATGTGCACATGTATGCAGTAAAGGCTTGGCTGGCTATAGTAGACAACTTGTTCCTGAAAGGTTTCTCACATACATGTACTTGTTTTATAAAAAAAACAATTAAATATAGCTGGAAGTTTATTTCTTTTTATATCAAATGACAAGATTTTATAAGTTCGAAATTATTTCAGTCAAACTTTTTCATAATATACCAATATTTTTAGCTATCAGAAAAAAGCGTGTATGAGCCATTAGCCCCTAATTATAGGGGCCAGCCCCTTTTCGTTAATCAAATATGAAAGCTCTCGTAATTACCCACAACTTTTGTATTATATGTCTTACCAAATTATTCTCGGTTTAAAAGTTATTACACAAAAAGGTGCAAAAATTCAAAGAAAAAAATTACTAAAATTTGCCGTTTTATAACTTCCAAACTTTAAGAAATCAGCTATATAATTTTATCGTTGTGCACATCTACAATGTATTGGCTACAAGTTCTCCAACTTTCGTGTAAATATCTTATGTCATTTTTGAGATTTTCAGTGGAAACGAGACATCAAAAATTTTCAATTAAAGGGCAATAACTCACAAATGAAGGCATGCATAAAAAAAACTGAAAACAGGTTTAAATAGGTTTAACTACAAACTATCTATCCTGAAAGGACTTAAGCCAGAATGTACAAAAATCCGCCCTGTCATCGAAACGGATGAAACTTTTTCAAACAATGCTCTTAGATTAGTATATTATATAACATTTTATTTTTTAACAATATCTCTTCTAGTTTTATTTTTACAGCTGTTTGAATTTGGTATTGTTCTCAATGTTAATTCTACAACGTCATGACGTTGCCGTTACTTACTTTAACGTCAAGACGTCAATCATATATACTTTAACGTCATGATGTGAACTTAATTAGTAATAAACATATCATATATATTCTAAAGAGGAGAAAATTCAATTATTTTTATATAAATCTCAATTTATCATGGTCTTTTCAAAGAAATTCTGAGGCATGGAAAAGAGTTTAGTGTTTGCTTTTCTTATAGTATGTACTTCTCTAAAGAAAATATATATACTTCATAAGCAGTAAAGCTGTTTACCATTTTACAAATGTAACAGTGTCAGTTTAAAATAATAATAACAACAAAATTATCAGTATCGTAAACATTTGTATTTCTTGCTCCAATAGTATTCATAACAATACATAAAATATTGAAGTAAACTTCACTTTAACATATTTTTAAGGTAAATCATGAAAATACATAAATCAGAAAATGTGTATATGCAAAGTCAAGCTATGCCTTTTTACTGATTATTGCTACAATATCACACCCGACATAAATCTCACACATGAAATTATTTAAGGAATGAATTTAATAGCTACCCATTTCATACGGTATAAACTGGGTTGGGGCAGTTTACGCTTTATAAACCGCGAAGCGGTTTATAAAAAAGCGTAAACTGTTCCAACCCAGTTTATACCGTATAAAATGGGTAGCTATTAAATTCATTGCTTATAATTTAATTTTCATTCATTTGATGTAAGAAAAAAAAGAATATTGTTCTGACAAAATGACAAAATTTGAATGTAACGTCAGGCGGATTGATACGTTTTTGACGAAAGTCATTGTGACGTAGGCAACCCATTTTATACGATATGAAGTAAATTTTTTATCCAATCAAATACAGCGTTACAACCAGAATTAAATTATAAACAGGTAAATTGAAAAATAACACTCTACATGCAGAGTGGCCCAATTTCTGCATCCGACTTAAAACTCACACATGAGATTATAAACAGGTAAATTGAAAAATAACACTTTACATGAGATTATAAACAGGTATATTGAAAATTAACACTCTACATGCGGAGCGGCCCAATTTCCGCATCCGACTTAAAACTCACACATGAGATTATATACAGTCAAATTGAAAAATAACACTCTACATGGGATTATAAACAGGTATATTGAAAAAATAACACTCTACATGCGGAGCGGCCCAATTTCCGCATCCGACTTAAAACTCACACATGAGATTATAAACAAGTAAATTGAAAAATAACACTCTACATGCAGAGCGGCCCAATTTCCGCATCCGACTTAAAACTCACACATGAGATTATAAACAGGTAAATTGAAAAATAATACTTTACATGAGATTATAAACAGGTATATTGAAAAATAACACTCTACATGCAGAGCGGCCCAATTTCCGCATCCGACTTAAAACTCACACATGAGATTATATACAAGCAAATTGAAAAATAACACTCTACATGAGATTATAAACAGGTAAATTGAAAAAATAACACTCTACATGCTGAGCGGCCAAATTTCCGCATCCGACTTAAAACTCATACACGAGATTATAAACAGGTAAATTGAAAAAATAACACTCTACATGTGTAGTGGCCAAATTTCCACATCCGACTTAAAACTCACACATGAGATTATAAACAGGTATATTGAAAAATAACACTCTACATGAGAATATAAACAGGTATATTTAAAAAATTACACTCTACATGCGGAGCGGCCCAATATCCGCATCCGACTTAAAACTCACACATGAGATTATATACAGGCAAATTGAAAAATAACACTCTACATGGGATTATAAACAGGTATATTGAAAAAATAACACTCTACATGCGGAGCGGTCCAATTTCCGCATCCGACTTAAAACTCACACATGAGATTATAACAAGTAAATTGAAAAATAACACTCTACATGCAGAGCGGCCCAATTTCCGCATCCGACTTAAAACTCACACATGAGATTATAAACAGGTATATTGAAAAATAACACTCTACATGAGAATATAAACAGGTATATTTAAAAAATTACACTCTACATGCGGAGCGGCCCAATTTCCGCATCCGACTTAAAACTCACACATGAGATTATAAACAGGTTAATTGAAAAAATAACACTCTACATGCTGAGCGGCCTAATTTCCGCATCCGACTTAAAACTCACACATGAGATTATAAACAGGTTAATTGAAAAATGATACTCTACATGCGGAGCGGCCCAATATCCGCATCCGACTTAAAACTCACACATGAGATTATAAACAGGTAAATTGAAAAATGATACTCTACATGCGGAGCGGCCCAATTTCCGCATCCGACTTAAAACTCACACATGAGATTATAAACAGGTAAGTTGAAAAATAACACTCTACATGCAGAGTGGCCCAATTTCCGCATCCTACTTAAAACTCACACATGAGATTATAAACAGGTAAATTGAAAAATAACACTTTACATGAGATTATAAACAGGTAAATTGAAAAATAACACTTTACATGAGATTATAAACAGGTATATTGAAAAAATAACACTCTACATGCTGAGCGGCCCAATTTCCGCATCCGACTTAAAACTCACACATGAGATTATAAACAAGTTAATTGAAAAATGATACTCTACATGCTGAGCGGCCCAATTTCCGCATCCGACTTAAAACTCACACAGCAGATTAAACAAGTAAATTGAAAAAATAACATAATTTTTTTAAAAACATTATATACAACCGATACAGTGTATATAAAATAACAATGAATAAAATACAATTAACATTAACTAACTGTTCACTCCTCGGGGGAACACTTTCACAGCTACTGTCATCACTGTCAGACTCGTCCAAAGCAGGTGGGATGTCAGCTGCATCAAGGACATGCTCACTCCAGTCACGCACACCATATGTCCTTTGTTCATGTCTTCCTTTTGCCAGGTACCAAATGATGGCTGCTATGTGAGAGCACATGCCTACAACTCTGGCACCCGCTCTGCAGGTACAATACCATGCCTCTACAGAGTAATCAGAATACTCAATCCAAACTAAATACTGCTTTGATGATGTGTGCCGACTCTGAATTTTCACCTTTAGGAGCCTATCATTTTCTTTATGGAAGAAAATATCACATCCTCCCTCAATGTGTTCTTGAATATAGCTACGAGAGAGCTTCAATTGATAGGTGCCACAAGTCAAATTCCGCAACTGATCCTCATCGAACATGGGGAAATTCTGAATTTCACATTCAAGAACTGTTTGCCATTGAGTAGATCTTCTGTTAAGTCCATTCTCTTGAACCATTCGTTTGAGATTATTCACCTATTAAGAAAGCCATACGCATGTAATTATAACTTATATGCTGATGTATTCAAGGGAGATGAGCAAGATGAAATTTAAAAAAGTTAAATGTATTCTTAAATGCAGATTTTTGCAGCTGCTCAATTACTAGTACATTAAGGTATTAGACAAACAATCAATTGTGCAACTTAAATACCTGTTTGGACAGATAGAGCATTTTTGCTGCCTCTGCATCATCAGCCTCAGTGTTTTGCTTTTACTCAGGGGTGGGGGAATTTTTGAAGTGGGAAACTATCCTGACATAGTCACCGATGAAGGGAATTTGATTAGTGGGAGGTTTTTCCCAAAAATCGCCACCTCTTGATGCGTGCGTTTGAAGATTCCACTACCCATCTGACCTAAAAAATATTTTTCAAAACTTATTCATAGTAATATATATTTTCACAAGAAATTGTAAATAACTTTATTGTAGAATTTACATGTTATTTACCTTTGTTACAAGTCTGCTCATATTTGCATCATCAGTGGTCATTTGGTTTTGTCCTTTAGCAGAAATCGGGGCATTTCTGCCTGGATTCCAAGATCTTCAAGCAGAGGCAAAGCTCTCTGAACCCCCGGGCAACAATAAAGATGTGTCTTCACTTAGCCAGCTCCGAATATCTTCAGCATTTGTTTTGATGAGGTTGGAGAATTATATCATTTTTTTATTTACGGTTTGGGCCTAAGATTGAGCAAAATAACCAGTAGTAGTTACGATAACCATAGGCTTGATTAGTGGTCTCCCCTTGTATGCTGTAAGAACGTCTTTGGAGTGGAAATTATTCTCTTTGCTGTGTATATGTAAGTGCCATCCAGTACCAATATGGCCTGTTTCTTCTCGATGTTACCAAACAATGTCTGTGCTAGCTGTCGTGTATGGTCTTCGATGACTTCCTCTCTTCTTATGTGTTCAAACCCAAGATGGTGTGGCACAAAGCTGATCATCAATGCTGCTCTTACAGCACTAACAGCCCTCCTCAAACTGGATTTGGAAGTTTGGGAAAAATGTTTACAGTATTTGATTTGACAAGCCATCTTTTTTGCACAGGAATATGGCAACAGATTTTCTTAACTCCTAGACGGTGTTGGTTTCACTTCTCTTTTACAGCGTCACATATTGTATGGAAATCTTCCTTGTTTAGTCCCAGCAAAGACAAATAGTCTGTATCGGTCAGAGTCGTGGTGTCATCAAATTCCAAATAAGACTTGTCATGTTTATGACATAAAACACGCATCTCTTGAAGTAAACTTAGGATGGTAGTTCTGTTAACAAATGCATTGTCTGTCGTCGGTAATTGCTGAATTGTATCAGTTGTGAAGCGTTCATTTTCCACATGACCAGGGCAACATCTATTTCCGGATGGAATTAATACATTGTGTTCAATAAAAACAGATGTGCGGCATTCTGGTGACACTACTATCAATTTGGGCCCTGGTTTCTTACAAACGATACAATAGGCATGAGTCTTTGCAGTGGATTTTAGGTGCAAGGATACAGATGGTGGACTGGAGAGATGTTTTCTGTTGTCATTTGTTTCGGACGCTGGAAATTCCCTGTGAATTGTGGTAGAGCAGGGTGTTGCAGATGATTTTTGGCATGAAAATCTCTGTAATAATTGCTTCTACATTTGCTGCAGATGACAGAATTTTCCCCTTTCCCTTTCCCCCATAAACCTTTTTTTTAAATATTTTCTTATGCCTTTGTCAAAATGTCCTTTTATTGGGTTTTGTTCTTTTAGAGCACAATACACAGTTGAAGTATTCTGTTTTTTGTCCTGGCATTATCTGAAATTAAATACAAGAACATTTACATTTTATAAATTATTATCCAGGCTAATTATGAAAAATAATTCGTTTTACCTTTCCAACTGAATAAAATGATTTTTTTTTTTTTCTGCCATAATTATACCCCCGCTTGAAAAACGGTAGGGTATATGTAATCGGTATATCCATCCGTTGTTTTGTCTGTCCGTCTGTTATGTTTGGGGTATCCATTCTTATCCACAACTATAGCTCCTCTCATACCACTGAAGGAAATTTAATGAAACTTTCACAGAATCTTTATTACATATTGACATTGTGCACCTCCTATTATACTTTTTGATCCGACACATATTTTGGATTTCCCACAGCAACACATGGACACTGCCATTATATTCATATGGGAGGCGGTGGATATCATTTAGTGAGCTCATTGCTCACAGCCCAAATGAAAAAGAAATCTAACAAAAAAGGGTACTTTCAAAATATCTTCAAAACACTACCAAATCATACTTTTATATTTTCTTAGTATGTTTTGAAAGTGTTCATTTAAAAAAATAATGCTATACTTTACAGGATGGGGTGGCATGGTTTTTGTTAATGTTTCATTACAATGTTGGTGTTTTATTAATGTTTCATTACACTCTGCAGAATGAAATTGCATTTTGAAAGTGTTTCATTATACTTGTCTGCATCAAATTAATATTTTGTTAGCATTTCATTTGATTAACAGACATGTTAAGGGGGCTTATCTAAGAGCAGTAAAATCTTCCAAGAACAACTTATCTATTTATATTCTGTGTTACTAGTTTTGCGCCAATTTTCAAACCACCAGCACTAGGTCAGAGAGAAACAAAGAGATTGGTGAAGGGACATGTAAAGTGTTTTTATATATTATCCCCATTTGGAAAAAAAAAAATCAGGGTGAATCTGGATATAACAGAGGTATTTATTTATTGCATGACATAAAGTTCTTTTAAACTGGACTACATGCAGTTAAACCTTCAATCTGTGAATGTGGATGTGTATATGGCCTGTTTTTATTGGGTTTTTGTTCATTTTAAGATTGATACCTTTAATCCATATACTACCCAGCTTAATTAGATCAGTTTTAAGCACTGGGTTAAATGAATTATAATTATACTTGAAAATTCTTTGAAAATGTATGTGAATGGAGAAATGGTCATTGGATTGAGAATTATATCTCTTACACCAAAGGATTTCACTGCAGAGAATGATTGATATAAGAGAGTGATCATGAATCGAACTTTTTTTTTAATGTTGGAATGGTGTGCTATTGTCTATTGAACAATAATGTCAAACCTGGAATTCAAAATACTGTAAACAAGATGTTTATACATGTAATGTTTCAATATAAGACTGTGTTTAGATGTTTTCAAAGACTTGTGAATTTGCTAATTATAATTTTAAAAATTCAAATTTAGTGGTTTTTTATATTTGTTACTTATGCTTTGTTAGTATTTTGTTAGAGTGTTTTGTTAGCCTCATTTGCATGTGATTTTCTATACTAATGGAATACTATCAAAACACAGTGTTTTGTTAGTAGTTTGTTAGAGTGTTTGTAAGTATTTTGTTAAAGCGTTTTGTTAGTAGTTTGTTAGAGTGTTTTCAAAGTAACTTGTTATAGTGTTTTGTTAGCTCATTTGCATGTGATTTGCTATACTATCAAAACACTTTC